GGAGGCGGAGGCGGAGGTTGATGCCTCGAGCTCTCGCTGCGCCGCCTGCTGCTTGCGCTCCCTCCGCGCCTCCGCCTCCTCGATCAGGGAGCGCTTCGAGAGCGAGAGCGCGTCTGCCGCCGCGTGCAAGCCTCCGAAGGTCTCTGTCAGCCGCGAGGCGAGGTCCGCCTGTCGGGGACGTGTCGGGGACGTGTCATGGGCGTGTCGGGGACGCGGGCTGTCTTCGGTGAGCCTAAGGAAACAGCAGCGAGGAGGAGAGAGGCGGCGGCGAGAGGAGAGAGGCGGCGGCGAGAGGAGAGAGGCGCAGCGGCGGGGTGAGAGAGGGGGCGGCAGGGAGAGAGGAGAGAGAGGCGGCGGCGAGGAGGGGAGGGGGGGGGGGGGGGCTCGCCTTGCCGGCGGCCTCGAGGGCGCCGCGCGTGGGCATGCGGCCCGTCTGGCCGATCGCCGCGAGGTGCTCGAAGAGCTCCGCCTGAGTCTTCTCGCGTGCGATCTGCTCGGCAGACTTGAAGGAGCTGTCGTCCCGGTCGCGAACCTGCGCGCAAAGACGAAGGCGCTCGCGTCGGACAGCCCCAGCCCCAACACCCCTTGCCGGTGCCTTGCTCGCGCGAGATCTGGGCGCGTGTGCGCGTGCGCCTTCTATTCGATCCGGCTCCAGCCAACTCTCTCTCTCTCCTCTCCTCGCGCCTGGTGGATGACGTTGCCAGACTCGCGCATCGCGTACATCGACGTGTCGATAACCTGCTTGCCGCAGATGGCGCAGAGGCCCTTGGCGTACGCGCACTGGCCGCAGTACATCGCGTTGTTCTGCTGCACCCGCAGCTTGCAGATCTTGCACGCGTTCCCATACGGGTTTGAGCGGATGCCCTTGCGGAGCAGCTTGTTCTCGCCAATCTTGCGCTCCGCGCCGCCGCCGCCGCCGCGCGAGCCCGACTTCCACGGGTCGGGCGCCGAGATGACGCTGAGCTTCGACTTGCAGTCGTCACACACCATGCGCCTGGCGTTGCCGAGGCGGTTCGGGCTCCTTGGCCATGTGGGAGGAAATCGCGTACCGTAGTCGAAATTTCAGGGGTCGTTCTGGCGGGCCACCCTGTCCAGAGCCCGGGGTGGACTCTGTCCAGCCGGGATGGGATCTTTCGACCGAGTCTGATTTCGCCTCGCCGCCGCCTCCGACGACTCCTCCTCCGACCAAGACTCATGCGGCACCGGCTCTCTCTCTCTCTCACCGGCTCTACTAGCGAGGCGAATGACATATTCGACACCCTCGACGACCATCTCGGCTACGGTTCCGACGGTTCCGACGACCATCTCGGCTACGGTTCCGACTCCGGCTCCGGCTGGTAGTCGACAAGCTGCCGAGCCCAAATCACTGTGTGTGACACATTTCTTGTTGGCTTCTAAAAATCTCTCTCTCTCTCCGGATGGTGGTAAGGCAGGAGCCAAACAAAGCGGCGGAGATGGCGGGGGCGGGTGGGGGGTCGAGGAAAGCACGGCTCGCACCGACCCTTCACGAACCGCGGCCGTGGTCGGTCGGCGCGCAAGGGAGGGGCACGGTAATCCGGCACGTGTTTGGCGCCCCATTCCGTTTGGCGGCTAGGTCGGCTCAGGGCCCCGTCCACGTAGTGCCGCCAGCCGCCTCGTACGGCGTCAGCGACCGACCGACCGACCGACCGACAGTCAGTACCCGCTGCCGGGGCAAGCAAGCGGCGAGGTGAGGCGGGCGGGGAACGGTCTGGGAAACGGTAGCGTGTTCGACCCTGAGAGCTACTCGAGTATTAGACATGCGTTCGTATAATGCGTGAGAAGTAAAGGCAAAGAACAGCCAGGCTCGGACTGGACACCGGAGAGAGACTCTCCCTCTTCTCCCAGTAAGCTAAAAGTACGACGCCAGTGGCATGACCTCGACACCTGCGGCTCTTTGACTTCCACCTCGCGGCCCGCTGCGCGGCTCTTTGAGCGCGAGAGAGGTCGTCTACGAGGCGGCGGCGAGCGCAGGCGGCGCAGGCGGCGGCGGCGCGGCGGCGCGGCGGCGGATCGCGGCGCTGACAACGGCAGCAATCTGCGGCAGGCTGCTGCTTGCTGCAACAGCAGCAGCAGCTGCTGCTGCTGCTCCGCTGCTGCTGATTGTGGATACGATTTCTCCGATCACCCCGCCCGCCCGCTCCGCCCCGGCCGCCCGCCTCTCCCCGCTTGCCCGCCCGCCCGCCCGCCCGCCCGCCTGACCACCCACTCCCATCACCATCTCACATACCTTCATATAGGCGCTCGAGACCTCCTCTCGCTGCCTACTCGCTGCCGCGAGGGAGGAGGGGAAGACGTCGGGTTGAGCTGGACTCGCCTGCACCGAGGCCCCTCCCCGAAAGGCAAGACGAAGTATTAGCCACACGAAACCGAGACCCCTCCCCACCGACCCGATCCCCCCACCCCCTTGCTCCCCTCCCCCCCTCGGGAGGGCCGAAGAGAGGCGCCCGTGGGGACCCCGCAATTCCCTTCCCCCCTCATAGCGGCCACTCTTCGGATCGCTGGTCGAGCGACCCGGGGGATGCCCCGCGCGCCTGACCCAGCTCCCAGGCGCGAAAACGAATCTTCGAGGCGTGGCCGCTCACGCGGCCCGATGGGGAGGAACGGGGCGGACTACGGGGATCGGCATCTTACACGGCCCTTCCTTGCAGCGAGCCCCCTCCAACCCACCCGCGCTAGGTCTCGGGTTTGACGCATGGGTGGGGTCACTCACTCCCGCGAAACTCGTTCGTGCGTGAACTAGCCGGGGCAGTCGGAGAAGGGGCAACTCCGTGCACTGACGGTCGGCCGCCAGAAAACACGCCTGCGTGGATCGCGTCACACCAATCCTCGCTACCCAACGCGGCCAAAGGATATCCACCTCGAGAGTGGTGTGAAAGGAAGCAACCTCTCGCCGGGCACTTGCCATGTGTCGCCTGCCATGCATGAACTCTCGCAACTTGCACGTGTTGAGGCCACCAGAGTCGGCGGTCCCATCTGGCTGACGCTCGAGTTTCACGAGCAGTCGCTATCAAATGCCAGTGAATCACCGCTGCCGCTGCCGCTGCTGCCGCCCTGGCCGCCGCCGCAGCCGCCAACGCCACCACCGCCGCCGCCACCACCGCCGCCACCATCACCGCCGTCACCATCACCGCCGTCACCATCACCGCCGCCGCCGCCGCCGCTGTCGTCTCTGGTCAGGCTCTGCGCCGTGGCGGTCACGCCATTCGTCTTTCGTCGAGCGTCCGCTTCTTTTGGACTTCTTTTGTGGCGCGCAGGACTGCTGGTGCTACTCCCCGCTCTCGCCTCGATTCCCGCTCAGCAACAGCCACAAGAGTGGCCCTCACCACCGCCGCCGTCGGAAAATCCCCTTCTGGTTCCGCAAGCCCCGTCGGCCATCCCATACGGGCAGGCTGTGACGCTGGCGCCGCCCGAGGAGGAGGACGACGACAAGGAGGATGACGAGTGGGGACCACCCTCGCCAATCCCACCAGTGTTCGGCTCGCCCCCGCTCTATCCGTCGCCACCACCGCCGCTGCCAGCATCGCCGCCGCCGCCGCCTCCACCGCCATCCTCACCGCCAGCTGCACTCGCCATCGTCCGCCCCTTCGCCACGCACGACGCGTCAAAGCTTATCGGCTCGTTCGCTCGATGGGAGCTGGTGGCTCCTTGCGCTGCGGTCGGCGCTGGGTTTGCGCCCGCCCCGCCGCTGGTGCTCTACTACTCGAAGAGCATCCGCGAGCTCCGAGGCACGCCGGCCTGGCCGTCCCTCGAGGCGTTCCTCCAGGGCGCCTCGTCCAAGCCGTGGAGGCGCTGCTTCGGCTCCGTGTCTCTGGTCGGCGGAAACCTGACCGAGGCGCAGGACCGCTACACGCGCGACACGGCGGGCTCTGAGGTCGCCTGGAGCTCGGGGCCGAGCGTGCAGTTTTACCGCATGCTTGCGTACTACTCCGCTCGCCCAGGGACGACCGTTTACTACATGGATCCGGACAGCGTGCCCCTGTGCGCCCTCGCCGAGCCCTGCAGAGTTCACACTTCCGCCACGGGAGTTTTCACCCCCCCCCCCCCCCCCCCCCTTTTTGGAAAAAACACCCTCCCCTTTTGGGGCCCTTTGCCCACACCCGGGAAAGGAGACACCCCGGAAAAGAGCCTCCGCCCAGATGAGCCACCAAACCCAAACCCCCCCCCCCCCCCCCCCCTCCCCCTCTCGCCAGGGCGCGCTTCTGGCTCGACCGGCTGATGCGTGACATGCACGCGCAGAGGCCCTTCTCCGTCCTCGGCTCCACCTACCGCGGCTCCAACTGGGACTCCTTCTCCGACGAGGAGATCCCCGTCGCGCTGCGGCGCCACCTCAACGGCAACGCCGTGTACAATGTGTCTCACCCCTTCCTTTTGGAGGCGCTCTCCCAGTACAGCGACGAGCTCTGGACGACCGTCAAACACTCCTCCTTCGACGTGCAGCTGTCCGAGGGGCTCTTCGGCGACAGGAACGTCAGCCTCGAAGAGGCGGAGCGGGTGTACGGCTACAAGACGACGCCGCTGATCTCCAACCTCGCCGCCACGCTGACCGTCCCGCGTGACATCCCCGACACCGTCGTTCTCGCCCACGGCGCGGTCTACCTGCAAGAGTGGCCGGTGCCCGGCTGCCCGCCGACAGGGTTGGGAGTCGACCGGGCGGGGTCTTATCCGCGGAGCATGCTCGCCGCGGGCGCGGGCACCTCCCTCACCCTCCTCATCTCCGACTTTGGCGACGGGGACATCGACCGGCTCCTCGCGAGCCTGCGGGTCTGCCCCCCACCCTCTCCCCTCCCCTCCCCTGCCCCACCACTGGTTTGCGTGGAGACATTCACCTAACCGTTGCACCTTGCTTGGCCCCGCAGGCGGCGGAGGAGCACCTCGCCCGCCCCGCGTGCGCGGGCTCGCCCCTCCCCTTCAGCCGCGTCGCCGTGCTCACCAACGGGGCGGGGTCGGCCGCGAGGGCGGCCATGTCCTTCTTGCGCCGCGCCACGGGCCACTTCCGCCTTTGCCGCAGCGGTCTGCCGGAGGAGGAGGAAGACGTGGATAGCTCCCTCTGCGACGGCTCCTCCGGTGTCCCCGTGGAGATTGGGCTGCGCGACACGTCCGTCTCGGCATGGTGGGACATCTGCAAGGCGAACATCAGCACCGACTGGTTCATGCAGGTGACCTCAGACTTCACGCTCGCGAGAAACTTCAAGCTGCCCGTCGACACCGACGCAGCGGGGACCCGGCTGCTCCCCATCAGCCCATTCCTCGACTTCGACTCCGAGTCCTGTGGGCGCGAGTGCCGCGACGAGGTGTCGCGCGTGCGAGCGGGCATTCTGCCGGCCGCGAACAGGCACTACCTGCAGGCGCAGACCGTCTACCGCACCGACGTCCGCTCCGAGTTCTGCCGCGCGCTCGAGGCGGCCAACAAGCGCCTGCCTGACCCTGTCGACCCGACGCCGACCGCCTACTTCGCGTACATGGAGCGCGTCATCGGCGACGTCGGCAGCGAGCAGCGTCCGCCGCCCCTGCCCGCGTCTCCATGGCCATCGACCTCGCCGCCACCGCCGTCGCCCTCGCCACCACCGATGCCGCCCTCGCCACCCCCGCCACCCCCGCCACCACCGTCCCCATCGCCGCCGCCGCCGCCGCCGCCGCCGCCGCCGCCGCCGCCGCCGCCGCCGCCGCCGCCGCCGCCGCCGGCCTCGCCACCGCTGGCCTCACCGCCGTACATGTCGGAGTTGTGCGCGGGCCAGGCCGATCCGCCGCAGTGTGCATCCGCGGCGGTCAGAAGGGCATGCTTGCGACAGGACTCTCGAAACTGCACTTTCGCCGGGCCTGCAG